ACAATCTGAGTATGATTGAAAAGTTCCCCCTATCATAAATAGATATGGGACAATCGAACACAGGTGGTAGGTTACTAACGTTATCAATCTGCACAGTTGTTATCCAAGTGAGTGTTACAAAAGGAATAATAACAAGTGAGAGAGAGAGGCGAGCTTGGTGCGTTTTGACTAGTGCGGAATTTCGTGAGAAGCAATGTCATAAAGAAACATATCCGACTCATTGGTCCCGTCAGGCTCCCTGGCTGGGGACTCCGAGATGATGATCACCGACGGTTAGGAACATTGAGCTTTTAGTTGATTTCTTTATTTCCAAGCAGTTGGACGCTTGTGATACATTCATTGACAGGATAACGCGTGATCAAGAGCACTGTCTGCACCCTTCTGCACCCTGTCAAATCCCCGAGCACACTCAAAATATCAAATCTTTCCTGCGCGTAGTTCCACATACGGGGTCAGTGTAATTCCATATCTAGCTTGGTTACTAGTAAATCGTCAGAAAATTCTCAACCACCTCAGGGGAAAACTCTTTTACTCATTTTTTTCGCTCATTTACTAAAGTGTAGGATTTTTTATATTGTCTTTTTTGTGTGCAATTGGTTTTATCTATCCACCGTAAAAATCGTAAACTGCTGAAAATTCACCCTTTGGATTCATAAAGCTTTTCTTGACTTGACTTGATATGGCTGGTTGTCGCAAACAGTGGCGCTCATACATCTACTCATTATTCTCGCAACATCCGTCTAGATGAATTATCTATCGTTCACTTAAAATAACTTTCATCCTTCTCTTTGATCCAAATGGGCGGCCAAAAAACAGCTACCAAAACCGGCGCACGAAAGTGCATAGTTAATGGTTGTAACAACTGAAACTGGTCTCATCACACGCGCTGTCAATTCCAGTGAAAACAGCGATTGTTTTGAGACTTTCACACTCCGATTTGGGCTGCCGCTGCTGTGTTTCGGTTATCTGTCCGGCCAATCAATAATGCAGAAGGTTTTCAGTTTTTTCTATTACACATTTTTGGCGTGATGAACAGCAGACGAGGTGAACTTCATAGTTGGGAAGACGTGCTATTCTATGCTGGAAACCGGTAATCTAAGCCTAAGGTCTTCGAGTGGTGAACCACATAAGGCTCCATTAAGATAGACGTGATAATGAACCGGACGACAGCAAACCGAAGTTAAGTGGCGGGGTTCGAGCATCGGATTAGAATCGAAAGCATGCCTGGACCAACACCACCTATAGAAGTACACAAAACTATTAGCCAAACACCTCTGTGTGGCGGTTTTCGCTGCTATCTTTTGGTTACGCATTGGAGTGAATAATCTGTCTGTCATAAATACGGATCCCCTAACTAGAGTTGATTCTGTGAAGTATCTGGGAGTTACAGTTGACACTAACTTAAAGTGGACATCCCATATTTACAAGTCTGTACAGAAACTTCGCAGATTATCTTTTCAACTTCGAAGATTTGGGCAGTTCAATGCCAAGCACAAGATCATTTCACTTTTTGTTTATCAATGTGTTTTTCCTGTTCTTCTTTATTGTTCCCCGGTGGTTTTTGCTGGTCTACTAAAGAAAGACTTCAAAATTCTCCGTCGAGGTTTGTCGATCATCAGTCGTGTGTCTTTTATACCCGTTGATGAGCTATCTAATTGTGTGAACTTTACTTGTTTGCCTGTGAAACATTTGCCCAGAAAATCCTCGCTGACCCCAACCATCCTTTACATGGCGATTTACCTAAATGCTGCTCTCATACGTCTACACGTTCTTCTTATCGATTATTACCCTCTCGCATTAGTGTCTACAGAAATTCCCCAGTTCCCTATCTTGCCAGAATCCTTGTAAACCGAGAGCGCGCTTCCTCAGAATTTCTCAGTAACCTTAAAGGCTAAATATTTTACTTGTATCTTTCCTTCTATTGATGAGATGTGTAAATTTTTGACTGAAATGCAAACATTCTATTCTCGCAAAAGTCTATACAAATACAAAGACAATGCAATGTTCAAAACAGTCCCCAAGTGAACAATGGAGAAATGATTGAAAGAATGCGATTACCATTTTGGTTTGATTTGGATTGGAATATGGCATAAAAAATGTGGACGAACAACAGGACAACAGGTAACAGTACTCTGCCACCGGATGATATGATAACATGGACAGAGGTGACATCACGGACGTTGGCCAAGCGACTTCGAAGTCGCACTGATGATGCTGCCTAGCTTGGCTACGAAACGTCTGCGAATAACACTTCCTGCTCGGAGAACTCACCAACACCAACAAACGTGATATGTTCATAAGTTGGGTTCAGTGTGCGAAAACCTCACTCAATAAATGAAATCAGCTGTGTGGATCGTCGTAGTCTAACTGGACAAAGTTTGTGCGACTGGATGCCCCAGGCGAGTAGTAACAATGACAAACACACATACGTATTGAGGCTGATTTTCACCCCTGTTTCATTACCTTCCGGACATGTACGTACACAGTGAAGCATTGGACACCATTAAAACGATCAACTGCACAGCATACCGTTATCACAACCTCATTTGTTCATCAAAATGTGCAACATCAAGCTTAGTGGGGTAGGGTGGGGGAATTAAACTTCATAAATTTGGATACTTTTTGATCTGACTCGGCTACAGTACCAGGTCTGAAGTGTGTGCGTCAAAGATAAAGAATGAAAGATTGTGGAAAGCGGATAGTGGATAGCTGTATGTAACAGTGAGCTTTGGTTACAGCTTGATGAGAAAAGATGTGGACATTCATGCAGTTTTTTTTCTTTCACTTGTAAAAAATATCCTAGAGCACCCTGGTGAAAAGCGACACAAAGATCTCTGAGGATCAAAAACCCATTGAATGATCACATAAATTCGAAAAACCGTAGAAACGTCATGTGACGAGGAGATTGGGAATCCCAAATCAAACTGAAACACTTACTTTTGACGGGAGAATTTTGCTGACTCCCAACACCGGCTCCTCCGGTTGTACAGGAATTGTTTGTCTTTGTCCCGGAGCCCATGGAAACCGGTGTGCGCCGCCCGTCCACAGCTTTGTCCACGTTCGGATTGTGATTCTCTTCCGTACTCCGATTCTATCGTATCCGATAGGGATGAGGGACCGAATGTGTGTGTGTGTGTGAGAGAGAGAGAGAGAGGCAGGGATGAACTGATGAGCAGGGCATAAACTGTCGGTCAGTGAGAACCCAATCGGAATATAGAACAATTCAGAGCAGTGCCCAAAATTCAACTAGATGGAATCACACGACCGGGGTTTTGTGAATGATATTAATTTGACCTTCAATCGCATTCGTGAACCAGCTCCCCGCGAGTCAGTTGGTCTGCATTCACAAATGTGGGGAAAAAACAAGCATCCGGCATCCGTTGCGTTTTGGTTCCGACTGAATGCGAAGGAAAATTGGGATTGCCCATGTTGATCTCACTAAATGAACAAACTAGCATCCAGGGTGTTTTCAGGTGAATAGGCCGGATCAGTCACAGTATATCTGATAATGTGATCGGTCATCTATGTGGCAAGCGCAAGTATACTACAAAAGATATTTCTATGTACGCGCCGCCATGGTAGGGTGTACATCGCCGGGGTTCGTACCGTTCTACTTTACGGTTGCGAAACCTGACTCATGTGCGTTGATGAGGATGCTAATGGACATTCTGTATTCGAACACCGATGTCTCCGAAGCACTGCTTGTGCCTCATGGGAACATCGGATGAGTAACGACGAGGTCAGTCGTCGTGTGGTTGGTGCGGATAGTCGTTCTCTAACAGAAGTAATCACTCTACACCGCCTCCGATGGCTTGCTCACGTATTGCGTTTGCCTTCCCATCGACTATCCTTCCGTGCTCTCTTTGCACGTGCAGCGGCGGTCAGATCATGACATGGTGTAGAGGTATGAAGAAGCCGGCTGCACTTCTGGCTTGGGTTGGTGCAGCCCACTTTCCAGGTTGGGGCACAAAGGATGAGGATTGTCGCTGATTAGAGACGCTGAGAGATATGGCCCAGAATAGAAGTCAATGTGGTGAATGCTGTACGGTCTGTCTGTTGAAATCTAGTGTCCCGTAAAAACAACAAACACAAAAAATATCAAAAATTATACGGCGAAAATTTGTTATTGCAGTTATCTACAATTTTCCATTTTAACTGCTTAACCTTCTTTCCACTTTGTTCTGTATCCCAATCCACCGGCCCCCAATTATTATTATTATTGTGGCGTTGGCACCAAGCCGATGTTATATATATATATATATATATATATATATATAGTGCAAATAATGTTATTGTAAAGAGAATACACTTCCTGGCTACAAGTATATCAATGAACTGACAAAAGATTACCAGATACACATGCCTAAAGAGCAGTAAGAACTGCGAAACCGGTTGTATGCTTCCGGGTAAATTCTGTCTAGTCAATATAATACTACTTATTATGATATACGCCTATTTCACACACATCTGATGCCAGACTATGTGACAAACAAACCACAGCAGAATAGTCTTCATACAAAGAAAAAAAGGTTCTCAGATTTGCATGCGGGGTGAATACTGTCAGGTTACCCGGAGTCAAGATCAAGGTCGATTCGTACTTCGATAAATTTAGAGTAACAAGCTTGGATTAGCCCATTCGATTTTTCAGAGGCACCAGGCACTCTTGTAGGTCTTCGGCTAATCTAAGCTTGATACTCTAAATTGATTGAGCCATTCGCACAAGAGGATAACTGTCGGCCGTGTAGCTTAGGGGCAACGGTTTGAAGTCCCGACCCGACTGATTGCGGTTCGAGTCCTGATACGGGGACACAAAAAGGACGTGCACTGCTGACGAGTCCCAAACAGGGACAGAACAGCTGTCCAGTGAGTGCTCTTTGTCGGTCATCACAAACATTTCCATCGCATTTGAAAACAGATTCAAGCTCACAAAAGATGCTGACCGCGAGCAAGTACATACACATGACACAGTCAAAACACAAATATAAAACCAACTAGGACAATTGGGGTCCGGTCAAATGGATCAGGCACTCATTTTTTTTCCTTTCCACTACCCGGCGAGTGGGTTCGAACCGAAATGTGCTGAGCAGCACACCATAGAGTGCAATAGTAGGTTTCAGTTTCAGTTTGAACAACCATTAATCATGCACTTTCGTGCGCCGGTTTTGGTTGCTGTAGGTACGGATAGGTCAAACTGTGTGTGTCTGTGTGTGTGTGTGTGTGTGTGTGTGTGTGTGCAGCGCAGCGCATGGAAACACACTTCGGATACAGGATTACGGTCATTTTGTATCCACCATAGTGTGGTCAAGGTTAATTTAGTTCCCCACTCAACCGGCGCAACTACAGAAACACACACACACACACGGTCACAAACGATCAGCATAAACTGAATATTTACCAGAGTAAGATAAAACTGACAACAAAAAAACCAATTCACAGAGTGATATGTGATCGTTGAGTTCAAATCAAAGACCGGGTGTTTGGAATCTGACCAAGAGGAGGATTATGGTACATAATTGGCATCACATGCCACCTAAACAGAGTAGATCTCTACTGGTCAGTGTGTGATAAAAACGGACTGCTTGAGTTCCTCTCTCCGCTCTTACCGGATTTAATGGACTCAATCACTGAATGTGACCTTTGACGACCGGTGTGATAAAGGACTTTGACTCAGCAATATACGAGGCATCAGTATCATCTTCATCATGTACGGTAGATGGGTAAACAGTGGTAATGGCAGAACGCACAGCACTTAACGTGCACGAAGCCTCACATCGCCAATAATGCATCGGTCCCGGAAAAAGCAGTGTTAGATAAACGCAAGACCGGATTTTAGGTATCAGGTGAATTGGGTCTGCGAGATACAGGTTTGCGACAGAGGATGAAGAAGCAGTGTGCGCGAGTCCAGTGCAGAACGTTAACCATACACATCCCGAGTACAGCGAATAAGTAACAGAGTATTTGTCCTCACGGATTTGTGTGCAAATAGTATACGAGAGTGTAAATAACCAAAACTGCTTACATTAATCACAGAGTGGAGTGAGGATGTCAAATTATTCAAATGATCTTCATTATGGGTGGGCAGAAAGAGAGAGCAAGGGCGGTTTTCAAGAGTATCTTTTGTAGAAATATTCCCAAAATGGAATGAATACTACGGCGATGGGCCATTTAGCTCACTTATGAGGCAGGTTTAAAAATGAAAACGATTTACGTAAACCGAGGAATCTGACAGAGCGTACACATGTTTCCTGTTTCCTCCTTCCTCTACGGTTCTACCGGATCTGGAATCGAATGTCACTGTGTCAGCGAAGGGCGTGAAAAAAGATTTTTATGAATTTTATTGGATGAATCAAAGTGAGTGAGTGATTCTGTCGGGAGCAACCGTAACTTGGAATTTGAGGTAAAAAGTGCGCGCACATACAGCGAGAGAGAGAGAGACGTGTAGATAGTCTAAACGCAGTCTTATCGAATATCTATGTAAGTGCCAGTTTTCAACGCATAGATTTATCTATTTAGCTCCACTGAATTCGACCGGCTCACACCGTACAATAAACGTTACCTGGCTGTAAACGTCAGTTGAAGGCTGAAAAAAGTAATTATTGGCACTACAGTCCACAGGTGTGTGGTGAAACAAACAAACAAACAAATGTTACTCTTGTTCCCCATTAATACCAGGCTTGGCTCCCATTTCAATCTGTTTTGTATCGTAACCTCCTTCGTTCTCTGTCATTCTTGTTGTTGGGTTAGTACGATACTTGTTCGCAATCTGATTGCACTTGATGAAAAACAATGATTCTCATCTGTTCGATTGGAAACTACACTTTCCTTAAGTGGCAGTGATGTGCAACTTAGTCGACACGCTCGGATACAGAAGATGATTGGGTGTTTGTTCAACGAGGTTGAAATCAAAATATTCAATTTGTAAAAGCTGAATGATCGGGGTAGGGGGACGGGAGACCGAGAGATTGCGGATTTGTGCAACTCACCAAATTACCGGATCCTCGTGGTTCACTACTGAACTTAGATGTTGGTGTCCAATGCGACGGCACATTTTGTTGTTGTTGTTGCTGCTGCTGCAAACGTGGTGGACGCTTATTCACTCTCGCCCCGGTTGCATGGACAGGTGAAGCAATATCATACGCGATGGTCGATTGTGCGTCCGGGTTGGGGGAACCGTTGACCTCGTGTGTTTTCAAACTGCCATCCCCGTCTGGACCAGGTTCCGTGATCAAATCATTCGGCTTCTCCGTGCACGAGACCTGTGGATTATTCGCGAGGAGGGAGAGAGAGAGAGAGAGAAAGGCGGAATCCCTTAGTACATCAATACATAGTTACTGTATAAGCAATGGTTATCGAGAAATAAATTGCGTGATGTTCTAACCACGAGCGAACGAGAGACAGAGCTGGCAATGTAGTTACTGTTTTAGTACACGGCAACCGGATTAGTCAATGCGTGCATCGTGTAAACAAAAGATTGCACAATGGAAGTCTTCAACTGTCGTTCAGGATTACATTTCACCTGGAGGCGACTTTCTCGTACATGAGAATTTCTCGACCTTGTGAATGAGCTAGCGTGGTTAGCACTTTTTTCGTATAACATCGATAAGCATGGCATTGACCGAACGGTGATGGGGGTGTAGCTTGAAAAGTTTTGTGTAGGAGATTACCAAGGAAACATATGTACGCTTTATTTCTAATCTGAAAGGCCAGCAATGCCGAGTCCTTGAGGGACCTCCTCTGTGGCGCTCACAACATTCGTCATATCGTCATGCGAGTTTTGCCATCGTATGAACGGCAGTATAAGTTGGGACCGGATAAAGGACCAGATCACAACACTCGACTACTGTGTAACGTTTCTTGAAAATTCACCAACTAATCCTTTGACACACTGCGCTATGATTTTTTAGAATAAAGAGGCAACTGAAAAAACACACGACAACCCTTTACGTCACTCCAGAACAGAGTGGGTTATTCGAATTTTCTGCCCACCCAGCAAAAGAGAAAATCGAGGATTTCTGTTTTAATGATTGAAAACATTCGACGGGACGAGATAACTGCCCACCACGCGGGGGAGGGGGGGAGGGGTAGAACTGGCGTCAACTGAAAATGAGGAAACTCCCGAGACAGTGTTTTTCGCCAAAACTGATATCAACAATTGTGCGTGACATTCATCAACAAAAATAAGATTTTTTCGAGGTTGAGAGAAAATTTGTTACAATACTGTTGGGATCGATAAAGCTAATGTCACGGTTAGATTCCAAGCAATTTTGTATAGCATTATTAAACTTTGCCAGCTAGCACACGAGTGATCATGTGGAACAGTGTCAAGGTTTAATCCAATCAATTTACAGAGTCATATGAAAGCCATCAGGTGGTCTGTAAACGGATGGCCAAGACAAGCTTTCCTTTGAATTAACCGAATGAACTTCTAACACAAAGATAATTGTTCAATTATGTTGTTTGGTATATTTAAGTATTATGCCGGAATTGTGATATATTTCCGTAATCTATGAGTGAAAATATTAGTGCTATCGGTGTGTCTACGTAGCTAAGCTACTAGAGTATGCGCTGTACAGAAGCGCGGGTTCCAATCCCACCGAGGCTACTGAACTTTACACAATTTAAAAATTAGAATTAAATCTATCAAACATAATTGGGCAGAATTTAAGCCAAAAAAGAGACGCCAATGGCTCTGATCAACCCACAGAATGATGTTCCGTCGGATGTGAAATGTGGCCGCCACACTCCGATAGTCGGATGGGAAAACACAACCACAGAGTTGGTGTCGTTGAATTGACTTTTTACCCATCATGAACAGGAATTCGTCAATCATTAGCTAGAAAAATGTTTCAGTTTTTGGTTGTCAAATAGAAGAATACGAAAATCTGGTGCGTTACAAATTGAAAGTTTTCTGGATGGCTTGTGTGCCAGTGTAGGCATGTTCGGTATGCGTTTTGCACCTTTGAAGTGTAAAACTTGCCTGAAAGACTGGGTTGGTACAACACCGTGACCGGGGAAGTAATAGAGCAAGTGGATAAGTTTTGCTATCTGGGCAGCTACATCTCATCCGGTGGACGCATCACGGATGAAGTGTCAGCTCGCATATAGAAGGCTCCGTTGGCATTTGCCAATTTGAGACATTTGTGGCGCCGTCGCGACATCCGGCTGTCTATGAACGGTTGAGTGTATGCCGCGGCAGTTCAGCCAGTTCTGTCGTACAGTACGGAAACTTGGCCATTAAGAAAATAAGATAAAGGTAGACTGTCGGTGTTCGAACACCGCTGTCTAAGTAGCATTACACGTGTCTGGTGGGGTAATCGGATGAGCAATGCTGAGGTTAAGCGCAGAGTTTTAGGTAAATGCGGTCGCCTACTGGAGCAAGTGGTTGATCTCCATAGATTACGTTGGTTGGGGCATGTGTTACGTACGTCACCAAATAAGTTGCCACGGCGAGTGGTGTTTGCTGAGGCGGGTAGTCGATGGAATAAAGCTAAGGGTGGTCAACCTAAGACCTGGCATAGAGATGTGAAAACGCTAACCAGGAGTTTGGGTCACATCGGTCCCGTTAGGCTCCCTGGCTGGGGACCTAGGGACGATCCTAATCGATGGCTAGAGGTACTGAGTGATATGGCTGAGTGTCTTAAACAGTGGCGTTCGTGCATCTTCTCAATTTCTTTCCAACACTCATCCACTGATATTCCCACTTTTCCCTTCGATTACACTTTCAACTTTCATCTCTTTCTCCTAGTGTCTCATTCAAATGGGCATCCGAAAGGCAAAATAGGCGCACGAAAGTGCATGGCTAATGTTTATTCGAACCGAGCTGGACTGAAATGATGAATAAACCGAGTCTTGTGCGCTCCCAAGGTGACGTATTCCTCACATACCCGGAAAAGTTCAGCCACGACCGAGGAAACGATAGACTGGGTGGGTCAAATTGTCATCGCAATCTCCAAAACCGCAAAATCGCCGAATATACTTAAATCCAGAACCACTGAACATAGCACTGAGAAAAGAACACTGCCTGTTTTTGATGACACAAAACCAGATTTGATCGTGATGTGTTTCTAAAGTGGCTTAGACCTAGATATATGGAATTAAATGGATTATCTATATAAATACTTTTAGCATACATTTGTGGGGGGGGAGGTTTCGCCTGAAAATGATAATAGACGATTACAATGTCCAGTGAAAGTTCCCAAAAGTAGGTCCTATCGATAAAAGAACTACATAACGGAATAGAAGTGATTATCGTGCCCTAGAAGTCTTTGTTTGAATATTTCATACAGAAAAGTTCGTTGGTTAAACCATCATCATCATCATCATCATCATTGTACAGCGTAATAAAGTAAAGCGAACTTCACTGATCGCTGCCAAACTTATAATGCAAACAAGATAAGCGAGAATGTGTAAGGGGGACAGGGATTGGGCCTATTCTTAGGCCTATTTTAAGGGACGGGAAAAGAAAGCGAACCTCTATGGTCGACACACAGAGTACACAACCCAACTGTGCACACATGCTAGTTCAAGCATTCTGGACTGATAAGAAGTGACAGCATGATCGCCATTGCTGTCGGTTAGCAGCCATGAACTTCAGTGTCTCCAACCATGCGGTTTCGGAGTCTTTTGGACCCCAACCCGAAAGACAAGAGACACCTACTTTACCTAATCGCTTTGTGCATTTCTTCATGCCTCGTCTCCAGCTTTCTAAAAAAGCAGATTTGGGCATTCCAGGTCTGATTTCGTGCTGCGCACGTAAAATCTACGTGTCCAGTTACTGGAGAACCGACGTTGGACAGTCACTGGAAACGAATATTGAGAGAGGGAGAGGCGTATTTCATAAAACCACTGACCTGCGCCTGTTGATGAGGTCCAAGTAGGACGATTTTACAGTAGTAGTTGTGACGGTGATAAAGAAGCAATGCAAGTAGACATGGACAAAATGTGACCACGATATTCAGTGAAAAAGAACGATAGTCGCGCAACGACAAGCGACGCAGGAAGAGATGTATTGAAATTTTTCATAAGTTGACAGTTTGGAATGGGACGAATTGTATACAACTTGGACGCATTCGACCAAAAATTCGCAACTATTTTGTTCGGAAAAAGAATTAGGCATAGGAGGAAAACCCGACGGATTGGTATGCTCAAGTAACAAGAAAACGAACAAAAAAACAGAAGTAGAGTAGAGTCATAGTTATCTTGAGCATTGCACGTCGGAGAATGTGATACGCAAAGATAATCGGAGCAACAGGAGCGGTGATGGTGATTCGGTATGCGTTGTGCACCTTTGAAGTGTAAAACTTGCCTGCAAGACTGGGTTGGTACAACACCCAGTCTCACCTTGACTGCGGAAGTATTGGAGCAAGTGGATAAATTTTTTTATCTAGGCAGCTACATCTCATCCGGTGGACGCATCACAGATGAAGTGTCAGCTCGCATATAGAAGGCTCCGTTGGCACTTGATAACTTGAGACAGTTGTGGCGCCGTCGCGACATCCGCTTGTCTGTGAAGGGTCGAGTATATCCTGCAGCAGTTCGTCCAGTCCTGCTTTACGGTGCAGAGACTTGACCACTACGGGAACAGGATAAAAATAGATTATCGGTGTTCGAACACCGCTGTCTAAGTAGCATTGCACGTGTCTGGTGGGGTAATCGGATGAGCAATGATGAGGTTAAGCGTAGAGTGTTAGGCATTCGCGGTCGTCCACTGGAACAAGAGATCGATCTCTATAGATTACTTTGGTTGGGGGATGTGTTACGTATGGCACCAAATAGGTTACCACAGNCTAAAGCCTGGCATGAGAGTATGAAAACCCTAACCAGGAGGCTAGGTCACATAGGCCCCGTTAGGCTCCCTGGCTGGGGACCTCGGGATAACGGTCACCGGAGTTAGAGACACTGAGTGAAATGGCTGGGTGTCGCAAACAGTGGCGCTCGTGCATCAACTCATCATTCCTCTATCACTATTCTACAGGTATGACCAAACTCGTGCAACATCCTGATTTTGATCACATTTGTTCTTCTCAATGCTTCGTTTTTCCAGCCTCATTCACGGCATTGAATATGATATTGCCCCATATCAGATGCAACCTGTCTGATATAATCGCCACTTGTGTCACTGCTTCCATTCGCCACATGCCATCAAAGTGTACAATTTCGCGATTTCAACGATTTTTGCTAGTGCATCAGTTGTAAGACAACAAAGTCATAGTAAAAAACGCAGCTGTAATTTATTTATTAAAATGACTCATAGACTTTTTGAAGGTATTGCACTTTCATTTCGTCCATATTCCATTTACTCTTGTTCATTTTTGAGCACTGGAGGCAGTCGCTTTAGGATGGAATCCACCACGTTGACTGCCAAAAAGAATTTGCAAGTTTTCTCTCACACCGCACACCCTTAACACCTGCCACCAGTGAGAAGGTAGCTAGTTTATCTCTGTTTCTAATAAAGGGAAAAGTTTCTGATTAAATTAAAATCCCAGCTGCTGCGCGTTAATAGAACAAATTTGACATTGAAATCGACCCCTCTAGAAACTGCATAAATGTGAAAAAATATTTATTTAAGTCTAACCGTTTTCTACCACCAAGCTCAAGCGAGCTGATGTGACAACCTTCATATGTGAAAAATATGACTTCCACGAATGCATTTTTGGAGTGACAGTTATCAAAAGCTTCCCTTATCAGTGCAGGAAATTTTGCTGTGTCCATATTGGCGTATGCAGGAGACTAACATTAATGTGCTCAAAATCATATCCCTTCCAACTCGTTAGGCTGTGTAGATATTTAATTCTTTTGACAGGTAAAAAGAAATTATTTAGAAAACTGGCTTAGTAGATCAGCTCCAACTATAGGCTGAGTTACTGGTCCACCAGTGAGATAAACCAATTGCCAAATGGGCAGGTGACGCGATTTGAATTCGCTTTGCATTGTTGGGCGTTCGATAACGGCTTCATTTTAAATTGAGCCATCATTTTGCAAACGAAAGCGTGGGGAAAAAATGGCTAATCAGTCCGGACTAACCTTCAGGTTGGTTCTGTGCAACTATTCTCTGCTGCGATCAAATACAACCATCATCTTACTTTGCTATGGCCGGTTTTCTCCCTCTCGGTTCATGTCTTGATGAAGAAATTCCGTTGAATATGCAACAAATTGGACTTATGTTCACATCGAAGCGCTTCCACAAGATATCAGCTGAGCCAACAGATCTATGCGCCTCTCGGCTTTAATTATATGCCGAAACCTTTTGAAAGTTTCATCCGGTTTGGGCATGGTGACAGTACAGGACGCCTATTCAACGAGCCGCACACCTCAAGGTCAACTTTCGGAGATCAACTTGTGTGTTTCATGGACTATATTTTCAGTTCTTCCAGTATTGTAAATAATGCGTGAGTAGTTTGTAGCCTAATAATTTATCAATTTATTTAAGTTAGAATATTTTCAATAATTTGCTTATTTACTGTACACTGAATGAAAAGAGAATAGAAATTTAGAATACGTGTGCTCAACCTAATAGAAACTCTCATGGGACAGGAATCATCTTTTAAGAAGAATGCACTCCTATGCTGATTTGCCCAAAATATTTTCCAAACCAGAGCTGTAACTTTCGAACTACTGCAAGTTTTATAGCGACACTCAAGTTGGCGAAGATTCAAATGGTAACAGAAATGAACTAGGAACATAGATGNNTGCGTTTAAAAAGTGTAAGATAAAGCTTGATAGGAAAAGGTGTACCAAAGGAAGGTGTATTTTTTAAATGATGTTTATTATGTCAGGACGTGTGAATGCAACACAATGTACCGTTTATGCAAAGTTTAAAAGTTTTACTTA